ATACCATACCATACCATACCATACCATACCATACCATACCATACCATACCATACCATACCACAGTGGTTCCCAACCACTAGTACCCCTTCAGCCAAACTTAATGATGATTCTCCAAAACTATAATGTACAACTGATTATTAAATGAAAATTATTTATTTAAACTCCTAGAACAGTGGTTCCCAAACCTTTTATCTTATGACCCAAAAAATATCCATGGCGAAAACTTGTGACCCCAAATATTACTGGTCTGAGTACACAAACTTTGTTAATAACCCTAAAAACACAGGCTTTTTGACAACCTAAACAGCTTGTACACAAATACAAATACTTATTTATACTTTTTGGTGTGTTTTTGTAATAGTTATAGGGAAAATATTACAGCAGTAATTATTTTATTACCCTTTAAATTGATTTCTGGAGATTATCCAAGGTGCTTCATGACCCATAATTGGGTCCCAAGCCCAAATTTGGGAACCAAAGTGCAGTGGTTCCCAAACGTTTCAGCTTTTGACCCACAAAATAACAGTAGTAGAGACCTGTGCCCTCAACTATTTTTGGATGATAAACATTTGTATCAGGTCAACTAAACATGGACATTGTAACAATATTTTTATACTACATTTAAACATTTAAAATATACTAACCTCGCTCCTTTATAACAACTAAGGCAAAAATGTAATTAATTCAGGAAATATTTTCAGGACCCCACCTTGATGTTTCGGGACCCCACTTTGGGTCCCGACCCCAACTTTGGGAAACACTGTCTTAGAAGTTTTAATTCTCAGGCCTTTTATTTTTTTCCAACTCAAATTAAACATAAAGATAAACATGTTGCCTTGAAAGTGAATATGTAATTAAATAAATAAACCAGTTAATGGCAGGTGCAGAAAACAGCAGCATCCAAAATGCATTGTATTCTTCAAAATACGTCAGAAACTCACCCAGATGAGCAAATTCTGTGAGATTCTATTCCTTCATGGTGGGCACAGTCCCCATAAAGCACTAATATAATTTCCTAATTAGTGCTTTTGCTATTTTTAAAATTTATTAGTGGATTAGCACTTGCTAAATTTAGAAGCACTAACTGAGGCTTATAAATGTTATTGATCAATGTTAAGGGTTTTTTATAAACACCATAGTGTGTCACATTGTTGATATATGATTTTTCCCCTCATCTTCCCTTGTGTGGTTTTTAGTTTTTCTGTTAAAGGTAGCGCAACTCTTTGCTGCATGACAGGTTTCACCTGTTCCCCCATGTTTGTAATGTGTGTCTTCTTGAATGGGTGTTTCTTAACTGCCCCCTCCCCCTTCCCTGATTGTACAGCACCTTGTGAATATATTTCTGTGAATGGCGCTATATAAATAAAACTTTACTTACTTACTTATATATAATAAAGATTACAACTACTCAGACAGCAGCTTGTTTAAATGCCTATTATGTATAGGCCTGTTGCGATAGTCAATAAATCAATTAATTGCATGATAAGTTATTTTGAGGTCAGTAAAAAAATGAGGACGATAAGTTTCATTTTCCTGCTTGTTTACTTCGTCTCTCTCCCTCTCTGTGCTCCGCTGCACAGGAGCTCAGCTGACTCCTCCCCTCCTGTTTTCTTAGTGTGGGAGGAGTAAACTCTCACTTTAGCATGAGAGCTCGTAGCAATAACAAACTAAAGAAACGTTTCAAAGCAGAACGCGGCTGCTGCTGCAGTGTCGGAGCACTAGATCCTGAATTTCGCTGCGGGCAGACACAGAGAGAGGAGGAGAAGGGGTGGGGGCTGAAACTCCCCCAGACCCTCGACAAACTTGTCAAGACTTTACCTGTAGCTCCCAAAAATAACAGGAAACTTAAACGCACCATCTGTGTTTTAACAAAACACCCAAAAAACCTGTAGCTGTCCCAGAAACTCATGAGGAAAACTCTGAACTGTCTGATTTCCTCCCCGCAGCGCTCTGCTTGTCTCCTCACTGACTGTCCCCTCCTCACACACACACATAGACACGTTTGTTCTTCTATCCTCATGGGGACTTTGCATTGACTTTCATTCATTTACCAGTATTTTCTATTACCATTTGACCCTAAACCTAGCCTACACTTTACATGGGATGTGAACTGGGCTTATGTCCCCATAAGAAACAGTGGGTCCTCACCAGGCTGTGTMGTTTGCTTCATCTCTAAAGASATGCTGCTCTTTAATATTGTTTATTTTCTGTCTTAGTTGTGTGTGGTGTTTAATTTACATTTTGTTGTTCTTTGTTTTTTATAATTCAAGTTTATTTTTTGTTAGAGACTGAGAGTCCACTTTGTTAAACATTCTTTTAAAAATTAAAGTTTATTGATTTATTACACTTCCATATTACGCTTTTATAATTATTAGTTGTAAAACGGTCACCAGGCAATATTATCACTTATCGCAATAATTTGTGAGACAATTAATCGCCCAGCAAAACTTGTTATCGTGACGGGCCTAATTATGTATTTTCATATTTCATCAACAAATCAAATTTTAACAATCTTCCAAATAACTTAATAGAACCAGCATTTTGATAATCCCTAGCCAAGTTGTTCCACAACTTTATTCATTGATGTGAAGTACATCTCTCTTTCAAATTAGTTAGAATTTTAGGTTTTACAAACATTTCAAATCCTTTAAAATTGAAGTTAGATTTAATGTTATCGATATTATCTGTGATTATCACAGTTACTGGCCATTGGAAGTATAATTAGTAATGCTTTTTTTTTAAAAAAGGATTGTGTATCTCTTTAGTTGTAGATGTAATACTTGCTAATAGACACAAACAGACTAACTAACTAACTAACTAACTAACTAACTAACTAACTAACTAACTAACTAACTAACTAACTAACTAACTAACTAACTAACTAACTAACAGTCATGGCAGGCATGTTAAACCAGCCTTTTAGGATCAATAACATGGTGATTTGCAGTATGTTCATTGCACACAGTGTGATGGAGCCTCACTACACCACCCACCTTGAGCTATGGCTATGGACTCGAACCTGTGCAGCTCTCGCAGCAGGCACGTGCGCTCAGACGGGTGGAGGCTGTAGATGAACTCCTTGGCTCCCCGGGGTGAGTTGAGGGGCTCCACGGGCTCCTTCAGAGGGTGCGTGCCCATGTAACAGCGCTGAAGCAGCGCGGGCAGCGGGGCTCCGGCGGGCGTTCGGTGGTTTCTGAACCCGGCTCTAGCTCGCCCGCTCCCGGCTGTCAGGGAGAAGGCAGGCCGCAGGACTGTTCGAAGGCTGGGCAGCATCTCAGGTCAGGAGGGAGGGATGGGGAGGAATAAGAGGGGGGGAACCTGATGGAAAACAAACATGGTTATCATCCTAAAACCACGTGACGCTTTACTTAATTATTTCACTCGTCGTTTGGTTGTGGAAACACACATTATGTGTCGGACAGCTGATTTACAATAACATAGCGGTTCATTAGTATTAATTTTGCACACAGCTGAGTTTACGAGACGTCAAATAAGGGTACAAAGC